TGCAGAACCAAGACGTTCATAATAATAAGTCCAATCTAAGATATTTCTAATGTCAAAGTTATCCATCTTTGGATCTTTAAGCCATTTTCGTATATAATGCCTTTTTACATTTTCTTCAACTGAAAATATCGCTATTGGGATCACTCGTTCACTTATTGCCTCCCTTAGAGGTTTAGCCGATATAATAAAGTGACATGTTAACTTAGTGTCTTTGACCATGTCTGTACCCAGAAATTCTGCCAGACGTTTTGCAGCCGTAATAGATGTAGATTTTTGTTCACCATAGTCTTCTAGAGAACGTGACATTCCTCGCTTTTCACTAATACTATCTATTAGCTCTTCATCAGAAAGAGTGGCACCTTTTTGTTCAAGTACATCCAAAAAAGCGTTTGCAACTTTTCCAACTTCAGTATAACAATCCTTTAATGTTTCCCCTTTAAGGAAAACTTGAAATATAGATTCTTGAAAGTTTTTTAAAAGTTTGAGTTCGCCACGCCGCTTCACCTCAAATCCTTTCAACTCTTGTAAAGTGCCATCATGAGCAAATACAGCGTAGCGTTTCTTTAGAAGCTTATTCTCTTCTAAGGAGGAAGGCAAAATCATTGCTCGATATGGCCCATCAACCTCAAAAAATATACTATTTTCTTTTCCAATTTCATATATCTTTTCTTTCTGGGAAAACCTCTGATATTGGTCATTAGTAAATTTTTGGTGCACCAAGTAATTTAACATTGTACAAGGATATGAAATTGAAAATGTTTTTCCGGAAGATAATTCAAATGTAAAATTTTCCGGAAATGTTGAAGGAAGAATACACCAAATTCCATCCGTATCAAGTTCGAGAGGCCTTCCAATTTTTTCAATCAATTGTCTGGCCATTTGAATAATTTTCGCACCTGTATCACATACTACCCCAGCCATTTCCATTGAATACCATCGAGAACCTTTGCGCATAACATAACCATAAAAGGAGTTAAGAAGACATTTATGAGCCAGCTGCAAAGAGTCATATAAAACGATCATTTTTTTAGCTTCTTCAATTTTTACAAGGTCTTCGTTTTTTGTTGCTTCTGTCAGTTTCTTTTTCCATTCTTTAACGTCATCTTTATATTTGTATCTTCGATCACGAAAACTTAGGACAGTATTAACATAAAACGGATTTTCACGTTGACAAACTATGGCTTCTCTCTGTTCCACCTCTGTTTCTTTTTTTCTTTTGTAGACTGTTTGACAATAATCTCCAAGACGTTTCTTTAGAAGGGCAGCTTGTTCTTCCGGACTTAAAAGATAATAAGCGCGTCCTTTATCCCCGGGGTTTTTTCCGGGAAATATTTCAGACATTAATTGCTTTTTAATCATTTTATACTCATTTGCCTTTGCAGGATAAAAATCGCCTCGCCATGACCAAGTCATTCTTCTATCACATTTTTTTCCAGGGACGTTATAATCGCACCTAATACACACTTCATCAGTGACAATTGAATCAGGTTGGAGTCGATTTGTGAGAATTATATTTGGATACATAGCAGCGACATCTAAATGATAAATTAGAGGTGTTTGCTCAAGTGGTCGCTCTCCTTCTTTAAGAGCTTCTAGGGCGGACACGATTTGTGATCGGACCTTTATATTTTCATGTAATGATTTTATTAATTAGATTTAATAAAATTGAAAAAATAAAAATTTTTATTCTTTACCTCTTCATAATTTGTGATCTCCGATAATTTTTCATCTATAATTTGTTTCCGAATCTATAAAAGAGTATACATAAAATGATTAATGATAAATGTTAATGCTTTATAGAGAAAAACTTTGTAGTTTAGAATTACTTGATCTCTCCCGCTAAAAGCAG